TGAAAGAAAGAAATGTTTAATAAAGTAAACAAATAAATATTAAGCTCTTTTTTTTTTTTTTTTTTTTTTTTTTTTGTAAATTTTGATACCCTTTAGATCATAATTGTTCTTTATTTCATAAATTATGGTTTCATATTTTTAATTTTAGAATTTCTGCATGCCATCTTACGAAATTTAAACTGATGATCTATAATCCGGAAAAATCGATAATCCGGAATCGCCGAAGTCCCAACGAGTCCGGATTAACGACTTTTGACTGTATTACTCTGAAAAAGAATAAAATTAATTAAAATAAATCTAAATCGTAATTTTCAAAGTTCTCGAGTTTACATTCTTCTTCTTCTTGAGCTCTACAGCTTGTTACAGTCCAGGTTTTCTCTATCTGATCTTATCCAGTGCCACAGCTTGTTGTTATTAGTTTACCTCTATCAACTTCAAATTCTTTCTCACACTATCCAGCCATCGCCATGTAGTAGGTGGTGTTTCTTTTCTTTGCTTTCTCTCTATTTTTGTTATCTTCTCAGTAGGAAATGTATCATCATATCTGTAAATATGGCTAGCCATCTAATGTGAGATGCCTTTACAATTTTGACAGTATCAGATTCATTATATTTCCTATAGATTTCATGGTTATGTAATATTCTTCACGGTTCCTTTGCCTCACCAGTCCAAAAGTCTTCCTTAGAATTTTTCTCTCAAATATCAGCAGCAGATCTTCCTCTGTCTTGTTAAGCATTTGCCTCCATACAGGGCCACAGGTCTTATCAAAGTCTTATATAAACCTATTTTGGTTTTTATTCTAATTAAGCTAATTAACTTGGATTTAAGTTGGTTTCTAAGAGCATAAAAACATGTGTTGGGCATAGATACCCTGTTTTTAATTTCAGTTTTAATGTGATTGCAGCTTGAAATCATTGTACCCAGATATTTAAATTGTTTAACAATCTCAAAAGTATAATCGTTGATCTTTAAAGTAGGTAGGCCATGATTTTATTTTTTACCATTATAAATTTTGTGTTATCCTCATTGATGTTTAGATCCATCTTCCCTGTTGCATATTCAAGCAAGACAAATGCCTCTACAACAGCCCATTTAGATTGTCCAATGATATTAATGTCATTGACAAAAGCTAGCAGTTATTGTTCTTTGTAGAATAGTTCCACTTTTAGTAGACTCACTAGTGTAGAGTCTGGCATGGCCTTTTCCAGTGTCAAATTAAACAACAAACAAGAAAGTGAGTCTCTCTCTTGCAGACCTTTCTCAGTAAAGACAAAATTTTAATTCTGCATTTTACTCTCTTAAATGTCATCCTTGTAAATCAGTTCTCTTGGGTTGTTAATTTCCAGCATAATTTCAAGTAATCTGTCTCTATTTAAACTGTCATGTGTAGCTTTAAAATCAATAAACAGGTGATAGGTGTAAATGTTATATTTCTTTGTTCGTTCCCAAATTTGTCTTGAGTCATTTGATCAATTTTTTCTAAAAACCACATTGACAATTCCCAATAATTTTAGAAGTATATCTCTGAAATCTTTTATAAAGGATTGTGAAGAAGGTTTTATGTGCTGTATTTGATAGAGTAATTCTTCTGTAATTCCAACTTGTCTCCATTTTTATAAATAGGACAAACAGACCCTTCTTCCCACTCTGTAGGCATTCGTTCCTGTGTCCATATATCACAAATAATAGATTGGTTTAGTTAGTTTCATTTCATTAATATTTAATAGCTCAGCTTTGATACCATTTAGTCCAGCTGATGTATTAAGATTTAGCTTTTTGATTACAAATTCAACATCATTGTTGATTGAGGGACTGTTTTTCATCCCTTCAGTCTTATCTTTGCAGATGAAATTAAGTAGTATCTTATCTCTTCTATGTTTTCTCTATCACCAAGCAGATGTTTTAAATGTTCTGACCATCTAGATAGAACGGCTTGCATATTGTGGCAATTTCTCCATCTTCTTTCCTACAGGCTAGAGTTCTCGGATTAAATTCAGCTCTTACATTATTCACTAGCTGATAAAATATTCTAACCTCCTTTTGTGTGTTTAGATTTCCGAATTCACTGTATAATTCATCAAAATATGCTTTCTTTTTTACTCTTTGTATCCTTTTTTTTTTTTTTTTTTTTTCCTTCTTAATTCTTTATATTTTTCCTCAGCATCTGTAATGAAATGCTTCTGGTTCATTAACTTATAAGCCTCATTCTTCCTTTTATCATCCCTGAGCACTCCTCATTAAACCACTGGTTGTGTTTCTTCTTAGGATATTAAGGTATTGTTTTCTCAGCAGTCATAGTTATGATTTGTTTAAGAGTATGCCAAGCATTCTCTGGTGGTAAGCTTTTTCCTTGTCAGTTGATATTTTGTCACATAGTTCTTTTTTTGTATTTCCTACATATCTCAGCTTTCTTTAGTAGTTCAATATCAAGCCTTGTTTTTTTGTTCTCTCTCTTTGTTGAAGGACCTATTGTTCTTGAAAAATAGTTTTACAATAACCAGATAGTGATCAGAGTCCACATTTGCTCCTAGGAATGTCCATGCATCCAAGAGACTACTTTTATATATCTATGAGAATTTAGTCAATTTGGTTTTGAGTTCTACCAGCTGATCTGCGATGGCTTTGTGTATATCTTTGTGTTTAAATACTGTGCTTTCAATCATCATATTAGATGCAATGGCAAAGTCCACAATTCTAAAACCATTATTGCTTGTCTCTTTGTGTAGACTTTCATCTACATCTTCTGATCCAGTAAATACCCTTATGTTTTCATCTTTTTTTTTTATCTTTGCATTAAAATCTCCCATAATGAGGTTTACATCATTTGAATAACATCTAATATAATTCCTATCAAGAATATAGAATTTGTTCTCCTCCTACTCATATTTTCCTTCCATGGAGCATGAGTACATATAATTGAAAATATTCTATATTTTACTCTTAATGCATATCTTGGAAATTCTTTCATTCACTGGTTTAAATTCAATAACTCTTAACAATAATATTTGCTTACTAACAATAAAAGCAGTACCAGATTGGTGTGTCTTTATATGGTGTTGTAATAGACACTACAGTTTTGTTCATCAATCACTCATTGGCCAGTCCATTTCATTTCCTGGATGCCCAGGACATCTAGCTTGTCCTGAATGAAAATGTCTGTAAGCATTTTCAATGCTCCACTTCCATATAAAGTTCATATATTCCAAATTTCAGGTCCGATTTCATGCCGTATCATTGGGAATGTGTAAGTCTAGAATTTTTTTTTTTTTTTTTTTTTTTTTTTTTTTTTTTTTTTTTTTAGGTTTATTAATTTGGAGAGTTTTTGGGTGATTAGCCCTGTGCCCAACCCTAACCTTGAGGACCAGTCTCCTGATATAATCCCCAGGGGCAAGGTGCCCGGCTGTACCCCAAGACACTATGTATCCATTTCAGTCGTCTCTTATGATATGCATGAGCTACATTGGGCTATTATTTCACACTCGGTCATCACACAGGTGGGAGCTTACATTATATACCTCTTTCATAACTGTTATTTGTTTACTTTGTGGAAAAAGAGTTTGGAGTGCAGGTATTTTTCATCTACATCTTGTTGATTCCCATGAAGGGTCATTTCCCATTGCTGATGCCGTGGAGGACGTAGTGAGTTTTGAACTGCCCCTGAAAGTGTGAACTAAGATTCTTTGCATGTGAAGTAAATGAGGGAGTCGTTGTAAGGCAATTTCCTCTAGTGCATTTCCTAGGTTGATCCTGTGAAATATACCTGTCTCAAAGATTAAGCTGTGCATGTCTAAGTAACATGCCATGTTAAGGCAAAACTGTGAATGGCTCATTAAATCAGCTATGTTGAACTTAAACAGGTGGAAATGAAGAGTAATATCTACTGAAATTGAATAACAGCTGAGAATGTACATTTGATGGAGAGCATGTTAATTAAATATGCATTATTTTAATACTATTTGCAACTTATAGATGCTATTTTATCTGCTTTTTTTGTATTAATTGGTTATTCATTTATCAGACCTAAAATTTAATACTACAAATGCAATTAAAATCATTTTAAAACATATGAATTCCTCCTCTCCTCATTTTAATACAGCAAAAGAAGAATTTTAAAATAGCTGCGTATTCAGAATACTGAAACTATTTTCTTTGTAGTGCTTTAAAAATAAATAGCTAACAAGATGATTATTGCAGAAATAATTAATGTAATATTAATAACATAATTGAAGGATTTGTGTCTAATTTTACGTACTTGATTTCTAAGTAAAATACCTTCACCATTTATACATAAATGTAAAACATATCCATACAGTTCTGTGCCAATTGACATTTTTGAATTTTATTAATATCTCATTAAGTTACATTCCTAAATAACTAGCTCTTTCCTTTGCTTTGTAATGGCTTTGAAAAGCCTCTTGAAAACATGCAAAATCAAAGTTATTTTAGCTGTCTTACAGAGAATTAAAATGTAAGTTTTCTTCATATATGAAACAGAATATGAATTGTTTTTTTAGTGTTCATTTGTGAAATTGTTAAAGAAACCTCACTTGTAAATAGGATATATAAAACAATTTGAATTTTATTGGTGAGATAATTTGTACATTTGATCATAACAGTGGTGCTAATATTAAAAAAAAAAAAAAAAAAAAAAACCCACTCCGTCCTAGTAAGAAAATATGATAATCAAGATTGTTGCACAAAATATGTATCCTATCCTTTAATTAATATTTCATGTGTATCAGGTAAGCAGAGTAAACATAAGTAAAAAAATTTTTTGTCTCCCCCAGACAAAATAATTTTCTTACCAATGCAATAGTATGATTTGCAGTTTGTTGTATGTTCTATCTCCTTCAACACAAGAGAAAATAGTTCCATTTATTTAAAGGCACTATTATCTGTAATTAGTATAATTCACTATGTATATATATTTTTAATAAATTGAAACATTATAAAATTGATAAATGTTTCTATTTTATGATTAATATAATTTATGTTTTAAGGTGCTGGAAAATCATTAGTGGGTGTAACAGCATGTTGTACTGTCAGGAAACGATGCCTTGTTCTTTGTAATTCTGGCGTTTCTGTAGAACAGTGGAAAACTCAGGTAATTTGCACTTTTTTATGTATTCTCTAAATGTGTTTAAAGGCTTTTGATAACAATCTGTAATAAAGAAATAGTAATTATGTAGTTGTAGGAAGTCCACCAGCGGCCAAGCGATAAAAGTCGCTGAATGCTGGTAGTTCGAATCCGGCTAACTGTTGGCTGCATGGGCGTTTTCCTGGTTCTCCCCATGTGTAACATTATATGAGCCAGTTTCCCTTAAAAAGTCCTTCACGAAAGCATTCTTTCCCTTAGACAGATAGCTCTTGAGCCTTTGCCATAATCACTTAAACCAAACCAAACCAAACCATGTAGTTGTATGATCTGTTTACTTTCCAAATATGCAATCAAAGAAAGTGATGTGTTAAAAATCACTTCAATATATTTCAGACCTACTGTTTTTATGCAAATTACTATGTGTACAGACAACAATATACCAAAATTTGTAAACGTCCTATGACTGATAACATTTTAAATTTTAAGTTTCTAATTTAGTGACTATCACAAATTAATTTATGAAGAAAAATGTGAGTAATTATGTTCATTAACTAGGTATGTTTCATGATTAATGCAATAAATCATCTTATCTTATGATTTTCTTATAATTTCATGTAGTTGTTATGTACTAAAAAGATTATATAAATTAATTTATTATTTAACTTAAATACATTGGTGCTGGCCAAAAATGATAAAAGGAAATAAACTTAAAGAAGTGGAAACTCTTATACTGTGAGGAACTGGGTAATTAATCCAAAACTAATCTAAAACTATAGTAAATTACTAATTACACAACTTATATCAGTTAAAGTTATTCAATTCAAATTCAAGGTTATTAAATCTGAAACCTGAAAATCAAAGGGGCAGCATTCGACCTTGGTGCCTTGGGAAACAAATGTATTTCTCAATGCCAAACAAAATTCTAAAACTCATTTCTTTTCCACTATCTAAAAAACTGGCTATGTATGTCTCTGAAATCAAGAGAAATAACACAAGATACTAGAGCAAAAATGTCATGCATAAAGATCAATCAGTCCAATTCTAGAAAGTATGACAATATAATTTAATTACTTCCAATTATTCTGTGGCAGCATCTATTAATCAGATTTTCACATGCATTATGTTTTTCAAATAAGACAAATTTCTGTAGAACTCTCATTTTCCAGATCCTTCAGGTGTATCAAGTGGAGTGGTGGAGTGACTGTAGTAGACCGTCAAATAAGGGCAAAAATAATACTTTTAAGAATACCTAATTAAACACATTTATTGTCTGTATTTCTAGAATATCATAATCAATCAGAAGCTGGGGTGACCGGATCCAAGTCCCTACAACATTTCCTTTTAAATGCTAAATTACACACATTTCAGTTTGCTAAATAAATGCAATCATATTCTTAGTTTATCTTAATTCATTAAAAAAACATTTCTATAATCTTTAAGCAGGAATTCATAAGGGACACCAATACTTGCTTTACTATTATTAATTCAATTTACCTTTAAACATCCAATTCGGATTGCAAACATATATAAATTAATTTAAATTACTATCAATGGTATTAATTTAGCATTACCATTAAGTTTTCCCCATAACAGAGAATCTAAATTAGAGTGCTTAACATTACATATTCTGTATTAAACAAAAGAATTCAAGCAACTTCCTTAACCCTGAAACTTTAAAAGTGAAAAATAAAGCAACCAAAAAAAATTTGACTCATAGAATAAAAGTACATGTATTTGACATCCTTCTTCATTACACCATTGACCAGCCTTGAAACCTTGAAACACCATTGACCAGCCTTCCTAATATGTCATTCCTTCCATGCAATTAATTTTCCTCAGTTTGGTTTTTGATGTGTATCTTCTCCAAGGAAAACTGCTGAGCCACACACAAGATACCAGTGGAAGTTGAGATCAAAACCATGCAGGTGACTTGATCCTAGGATTTCCTTTGAGTGTAACAGTTTTGTTACACAACAGCTCCATGTCCAAAAGTTTAACTAGTTAGGTTAAAGTTTTTATTTAATTGAAATTGTTTGTTGATTAGTTCAATTTAAATTTATTTTATTTTGAATTTGTGTTTGCCAGTTAGTGAAATCTTTCATTGCATTATTCTGTTTTCCCTAGCAGAGAAGTTTTCTGAACCTCTGGAGAAGAAGTGGAGGTATGAAAAAAGCATTGTTAGTTACAATGGACAGTGTCACTTCTTTGTTTTGATCTTTTGTTATTTGACATGGAAAAGTTTTTTTGTTTAACCAGAGAAAGAAAGTATTATGGAGTGTGTGAAAAAAAAATTATTGGCATCTTTGCTTTATGAAAAGTTTGCAAGTAAATGCATTTTTTATGATGAAGACTGTCAAGGGTTTTTAAGCTAACAATTAAAAGACAGAAAGTTAATTTTTCTGCTTCGAAATTTAAGAAAACCAAATTTTTATCACCTGTTCAGGTGACTTGTTGCTGTGGGTGATCAGGATGACAAGCTTTTAACAACAGTGTCCTTCCAGCTGATTTTGGGGGGAATCGAAAACAAAAAGAAAAGGAGAAAATTCATATGTTTGGTCTGGGATATTTTTAATTTTCATGTTTTAACCTGTAAAATTGTGGGGGAACAATGAGACAGAACTTTCCTTAGAAGTTGCTCGACTTTGATAATGAGATTAGTCTGAAATTTCAAGAAGTAAAAGAACAATAAGGAAATGGGGCCATTTTGCCTTGCTGTGAGCTTGCCTGCACAAGTAGGCTGGGGTGCGCATTTTCCCCATATGAGGTGTTGGCTAGAACTGAAATTTTGGTGAAAGTTCTGAGTGCAGGAAAGGTGGAATGGGGCTTCCTGTGCCAGGTTGCTTGGGCAGTTGCCCTATGACTCTTATTTTCCCATTGGCAGGTGTGCAAAAAATATCAGCCGGCTCAATCAACATTACTGTTGCTGTGATCAGTCACTGCCTTGATTTTTCCAAGTAATTTCTGGGTGCTAGATTCTTTTTTTTTTTTTTTTTTTTTATTTTATTTTTTTATTATTGTTGTTGCTTAATGATTAAAACCCCCAATTCTGACTAATGTGCAATTATTTCCTTTGAGAGGTGCAGTGTTGCCTTCATTTCTTTGACGACTGAAAGGAACCTCAGTATCCAGCCACTAGTGTAGCTTAGCATTTTTCCTTGGTGAAGATACAGACTGAGAAACCAGGCTGTAAAAAATTAATTGCATGGTGAAGGAAAAGTATATTAGGAAGGCTAGTCGATGGTGTTTATATTATATGTGATGAAGAAGTGTAGATATTTAGACTTTTAGAAAGTCAAATTTTTTTGGTTGCCTTATTTTCCCCTTTTAAAGTGGTAGGATTAAGGATGTTGTTTGAATTTTTCTGTTTAATTAAAATTATGGAATGTTAAGAACTCTAACCCAAATTCAGGAAAAATTTAACGGCAATGCTAAAATAATACCATTTTTAGTAATTCAAATCACTCATCTATGCATATCTGCAATTGGAATTGGATGTTTAAGAGTAAATTGATTTAATAATAGCAGGTCAAATATCGGTGTCACTTATGAATCCCTGCTTGGATAGAAAAAGGGATAGGGGAAAGGGAAGCAGGGATAGAAAAAGCATTGTTAGTTACAATGGTCAGTGTTGCTTCTTCATTTTTGGTTTGTGTTGTTTTGAGATGATAACGTTTCTGTTTGCATAAAAGAATTGCACTTTTAAGAAACAAAGAGTTATTAGGGGTTTCATTACTTGTTGTGTGAAAAACATAATTGGCGACCTTGCTTTTTGAAAAGTTACAGTTTGCTAATAAATGGGGATTTCAAATGGAATAGTACCAAGAGTTTTTGTTAATGATATAAGGACTGATTTCAAATAAATGGTTTCACAAATTAAAACTAATGTTAACTAAAATAAAACACAGTTTATATAATAATATTTCTTATGTACTGACTCGGAGGATGATTCACTCTCTAAATACAAAAATGAGAAATGTTCTTTGATGTTTCAGTTATATCATTATATGTGTAGCTGAATGGAATATGTAAAGCATTTCGTTTCAATTCTATTTAATGTTTCAAACATTAGAGATTACACATATGTATTAAGAATTAATGCAGTTGAAAAATAATTTTTAACAATTTTTTCAGTGCATTTTCCACACATAACTTTGGAACAAGATGCAATATTCTTGAGATTTGCTTCCATTGCATCTCTGTACTTGACACTTTTTTCTCTCTCTATCCATTTTCTATTCTTTTTTCTCTCTCTCTCTCTTCTGAAGACTCCGGAAGGATTTTTGGGAGTTTTGAAGCCATATGTACCACTCTCTTAACTCCTCTCCTAATTTCAGTAGAAAATCTCTTCTGTTAATGATGTTTCCTGTTACACTTTTATAAATTATCCAGGCATTCAAAGCTGCGTGATCCAAAATATTGAAAAAGATATGCACAGGCCATCGTCTAGAAGCCAGTTTAACTGAATATTTTCGGCACATCTGATCACGAATATCCACACCATACTTTGTTGCGTTGTAAAATGCTATTGAATCGTGCAACTTCTTGAGACTGTCTTCAGTTTTTACAGTAGAATGTAATGAACTCAGTAGAAAAACGCTTTTCTTTCTTTTGCCTTGATAGATGGTAAGTGTGATATTATCGTGTTCCACTATCGTTGATGAATAAAGATTACTATGCATATTTTTCAAAGATGTAGGAATTTCTCCTCTGTTCTTTTTCATTGTGCCGACCATAGTTGTATTTTTTTATTTTAGCATTGCTGCTAATTTAATGCTAGTAAAATAGTTGTCTGTGGTAATATTCCTTCCTTTGTTTAGATGTGGCTCCATTAATTTTATGGCAACATTTTCAGACAAACGTAATTGAGGATTTGCTGTTTCATCTTTTCCTAGATAAGGAAATCCATTCAAGAGGTATTTAGTATCAACATCAATAGATAACCAAAATTTTATTCCAAATTTGTCATGTTTATTAGGCATATATTATGTAAATCTACACCTAGCTTTAGATGGGAGTAATTGTTCATAAACTGTAATATTTTGTCCTGGCAGGTAGCACGTTTTGCAGTTTTTAATAAATTTGTTCCACATGTCTGATGCAAGAGCAAATTTATAAGTCTGTAATCAAGTAGATCTTGTCTTTTCATCGAACCTTAAAAATCGTTTTATTTCTTTGAATCTATCTCTTAATATGGTTTCTTTGCAAAATGGTATTCCCCATGCTTCAGACCACAAGGAATATAAATCTAAGCCCTTTGCTCCTATTACTCCTTGAACATACAATATAGCGACAAAAGCATCTAACTCATCCAGAGATAACTTCTAGTCTTCATTTCCAAGTTACCTATGAGCTTCAGATTCTGTACATTTCTTTATATGCAGCAAAATATCTTCATTAATAAAAAGCTTGAAAGCACTAGGCACTTTGTCCTCAGAAACACGACTCTTTGCAAAAGATGTTGTTCCTGCTGTTTCCATATAGTGTTATCAGGTGCTGTAAAAACAGTTTTGCAAATACCCTGATCCGTTTTTGCCCGTTTATTTCTGCTGAGTTCTTCGTCGTTTACTTTACTGTTGTCGGATTCACTAATAGTTTGTGTCTGGACTTCATCTTTAGTTTCTACAGAAAAATTATCAATTTTACCTCCGTCAGACTCACTTTCAGATAGCTCCTGCAACAATTTTTTAATTTCTTCATCCTTAAGACCTCTTTTCCGCTTATTAGACATATTTTGTAAAAGTTGAAAAGGTAGAGCAATATCAGACTATCCGAAAACGATAAGGTATATATTTTAGCATATAATTGTCATAGCATAAAGGAAAGGTGATAATAAACTTGACAGCAGAATTCATATGTACTGAAATATTGACTTGAAAATAAAATAGAGATAACTAAGATGAACTGAATAATCGATATGTATGGATATTTTTTCATGGTACTTTCGGAGCTTATTACAGTGGAGTCCGACAAACTCAATGTAATGTGGACCGAGAGACTCGAGTTTTGTGGAATAAGAGGTGGATTTTACAAAACTCTTAATTTTTAACAGTAAATTACACTAGACATGTGGTAGCACAATATTGGACAGCATACAATTAAAGTTGATTTTTCTATGTCAAGTTTTAGCACAATAGGAGTCATAAAAAGAACAAATATCCTAAAATAATTGAGTAAAAATTTACATGCAAAAATGAAGAAAAATTATTACTAGCTCTTAGAAGAAAAATATCATGTGATAGTAGATTGTCTCTCACATTCATTCTGTTGTCTTGCAGCTTCATCTCGTAGGCGATGAAGGACAAAATGTCCGTACTGGATGCACCTCCCTCCCTCATGTAATGGAGCATTCCTTCAGCAGCCTTCAGTCCTTCACTATAGGTCATCATTTTAGCTTTTCCTTGTCTTCAATCTCATCATTTTTTTATTCATCTTCATTTTTATCCCCATTGTCTTTCAGCATTGCAACTATTTCTGCATGTCCTAAAATTTCACAATTTTCATCTAGTCCCATCTGTTCTTCAGCATCACCATCCATAACTTCTTCACAGCGTAGAATTTTCTAAAGTCAACTATTTCTCAATTTCCTGTCTCTTCTCTGCTTTCTTGAAATTAGTTTCCTTAATCGTCCAAGAATGAGCTATCCATCCAACGACATCCAACAAATCTATTTTCTTCAGTTTCTCGATCATATCACACTTTACCTCCATGGCTAGGACAAGAGGTAAAAGAAGTTTACGTTTGTAATTTTTTTTTTTTTTTTTTTTTCAATGCCTTCAAAATGCCCTGGTCCATCGGCTGACTCACTGAAGTTACATTAGAAGGAAGAAACATGGCTCTTATATCTTCGTCTCATAACTCCTCTGCATCGGAATGGGATGAGGCATTGTCTAGACTGAAAATTGCCTTCCTTGGCAGATTTTTTTTTTATTTTAAAAACTTTTCCACCAATGGAACAAACTGCTGATGAAACCAGTCATTGAATATCGCTTCAATCCATTCGTTTGACTGATTCTGGAACTAAACAGGAAGATCATAGTTGGTTTCGGTCCCATTAGTGTACTTTTTTATGTTTTTAAACACCTGGGGATTTTTTTTATTTACCTGTAAGCGCTAGTTTGAGCTTTAGCTGCCTGTTGCATTGATGCTTGCCAAGATTGTTATTCTCTCCTTGTGTCTTTTATAGCCAGGTGCTGAAGTTTCTTCCCTGGATGCCAGTGTTTTCAAAAGTAGCATTCGAAAATTCAGACCAGTTTTATCACAGTTATAAATTTGATCTCCAGGCATACCCTCCTTTTTAACTAGTTTGTGGAAATTATCCATGAATATTGCAGCATTTTCCAAGTTAGCAGATAGCTTTTCCCCACAAATGTTTAACTGCCTGATGTTGTAACGATTTTCCCATTTATCGAGCCAGCCAGCACTAACTGTAAATCCAGGCTCTCCTTGAAATTCATCATAAAATTTTAGGGCTTTCTTTTGTAAAATTGGTCCTGAAATGGTTGTCCCCTGTTCCCTTTCCTGCCTGAATACAAAATCTTGATCTTGGTGGTAAATACAAAAAAAGTGCCTCGCTCACTTTTTTTGCATTCACCACCTTTCATACTTTTTCTTTCCTTTAAACTGTCTGTACATGCTCTTTTCACATGCCAAGTCTCAATTCTGGGCCTCTTCGTTTTCCACCCTATCAAAGTGATCCATACAACATCTGAATCCATGGTAATTTTGTTTACACTATTTCCTTTGTCCAGTCCCTTTAAGGCATCTAGTTTCATTTCCATTGTCATGTTAGTTTGTTTTCTTGTTTTCTTTCCAAACAACATTTTCACTTCGCAGATTATCGAAAGTTCCCCAAACTATGTTAACACTTATATGCCTGGATGGGAACTGAAAAACGATACCCACAATGAATTGGCAGGAGTTTAGTTTGCAATAAGATGCAGTCACAAAACTTCAGACAAGTCTTCTAACATTTCGCAACAATAGAAAGGAATGTGAGGCCGCAGCGAGCTGCTACCTTACTTTCTGTATATCGTTGAAAGAAGCAAACAGCGGCGTTGCCAAGTATTACAACATATCTTGAAATTTGTTAGGCCGTTCCAAGAATTAATGGCATTATGCGAAAACAGCAGAAATTACAGAAAGAAAAACTCTCAAATGTTCGAACAGAACAGGAAAGAGATACGCATAAACAATAATTCTATGCACTGTATGTAATATTTGCTCTTTGGTCTAGAGGTATATTAAAATTTCCTAAAACGTTTTTGAACTATACGAAATGTCGAGATATTGGGAGTCAAGTTTGCGGGAAACCTGCTGTATTTAGTTTATGGTAATTTAAAGTAATGATATTTTTAAAGAGAGCTATCATATTTATAGAACCTTGGTAGTTAAATAATTTTTTTATTTTTATTGAAATATGTGGTTTAATTTTTATACCAAAGCAACAGAGAAGATCTTTTTCTTTTGACTTGCAGGTTATTGATTCAATGAATTTTGAATTTAAACTTAAATTTTAAATTACTTTTAAAGTATATGCATTCATTGATTTAATCTGAATTTATATCAATCATCCAGTTCCTCACAGTGTAAGAATTTCACTATCTTTTAGGAAATTTTAGGTAAGTTCCTAAGTACCCCTCCACACACACACACACACACACTTTTGTCTAGCACTAGTGATGAGAGAGAATTAAGCCAGTTTAGCTTAATGTATAAATTTATTTATTTTCATTTTCTTTCTATATAACATAATTCTTATACTCTTTACCATTATAAATTTTTTGCAGTTCAAAATGTGGTCAACTGCAGATGATAGTATGATCTGTCGCTTTACTTCTGATGCTAAAGATAAGCCTATGGGTAACTATTTGATTTTAAGTATATACATTTTTTTAACTTCAGTATCTTAATATATCAATTTTCTATTTTTGTCCTAAATTTTTATTTTATATATGTACTGTAAATCTTTCTGTGCAGGCTGTGGAATATGCATTACTACATATTCCATGATAACGCATACGCAGAAACGATCCTGGGAAGCAGAACAAGTTATGAATTGGTTAAAAGAGCAGGAGTGGGGTCTTATGTTATTAGATGGTAAGACAGACTTTTTACATTTTAAAAATACTTAAAATTACAAGATTTATTGTATTTTAAAATATGCATTAAAAATTATTAATACATCTGATTATAATGTAATAATGGATACATAAGTGCCCTTCGAAAGTTAATCATGAAATAAAAGTTCTCAAATTCTGAGTCCATTCGCAAGCTTTATTGTGCAAATCTTATAGTTGTCTTTAAATGTGATGTATAAATATGCTCATGATTGCACTGTGTCATGAACTTAAATTATTTCATGCTTCCTTGTGGTGCTTAATTTTTTTCTTTTGTCCCCGAAAATCAAGTGTTGTGTTGTTTTAAGGAACCCAAATTCATGAATGTCCGTGGGAACACAAAATTGATCACGAAGAACCATATGTAGACAAAATGCAGCCAGCTATCTCAGTGATGTTCAGCTGTTTCAGAACAGAGCCACTCATGATCAAAAGGATACTCCCCAAGAAGAATCAGAGATCTTATAATTGTGGGACAGTCAAAAGTATGGTCAGGTCTTAATACTGTTTTGTCACAGTTATTGCAGAGACATCAGGATCTTTTGCCAGCTCTTTCTTTCTATCTCACACTCACACTCCAAAAATCCTGGCTTTTGAGTTGAGTTATAGTTTTTGTGATATCTCAATTAACTTTAATTTCACAAATCTGGTTGGTTGTCTTTTTTGATAAAATTTCCTTTAAATTGATATTTTGCTTTGACATTTGCATCATCAAGAATAATTTGATTATTATTACCGTCATTTATATGTCTTGCTTCTGTGGCAAACCTGGTTGCTATTTTATTTCCAGGAATGCAATATAAGCAGGTCTCACTGTAAAATGCAGATCTTGTCTGGATTGTCAGTTTCCTTCAACTAATGCTGACTCTCTTGGGCAAGTGTTGATTGACCTTTATTTATTGCCTCTAAGGCAGCTCTGGAATCATAGAAGACAACCAAACCATTTGCTTTTTCCACATTCTCAAGTACATAATATTCATGTAAGTCATTCATCAAGTACATAATTCTTTGTTTATTGCTGTCAGCTGGCTGGTGAAATTTGAAATGAAGGTGCCTGTCCCAATTTTGTGGTTCATGGATATACCATTTGATAGCACTAAATATGTGCCAGCACCACCGTTCTGGATACTTTCATCTGCTGAGTCATCAGTATATGCATGGAAAAGGTTACTTTCCAATATAGTTTTGATAGTCTGCATTCTCTTTGCAAAGATAATAGTTGTTAATTATATTTTTGAACTTAATTGTGTTAGCACAAACTGTAGTGTTCTTGGGGATAGTTATGAAGAGTAAAGGTTCTTCGAGTATTACATTGATGCAATGAACAAAACCAATAATTTGTCTTATTTCAAAATCGAACTGGAAAGTAGATGGATTTTTTAAGTGTGGGTTTTTTTCAGGACCAGTTCTTCAAATTTCCAAGTTTTTCTTTGATATATGATCAGAATCACAGCTTCTAGCTTTGTTATTGAGGCTGATGGTTTGGTATTTTCTTCTATTATCAAGAGTTTTGAGGCCATATTCTCATTTTTTTATTTTTTGTCGAGGAAAACCGTGCCAGTAATGATTTTCTGTTCTGGCCTGGATGCTGTGGCTGAAGCATTGGCCCAGATAGGAATGTCATATTCAAGGTGTGGTCTGATGAGAGTTGTGTAGGTTGTTTGAAGAGTTTTGGGCTTTGTTCCTCAGTGCAACATAAGCTTTTTAAGCTTCTTTAAAGCTTTATTTTTATAATGTTTGATTTGTTAAGTAAGGTACAATTCAGTATGAAGTTGCATTCCAAAGTATTTTGGATTTGGCCTCATTGTGATAGTAGGCCTCATATGATTTCTGTGCTTTTGATCTGTAGTAGTGTAGATTGAATTTCAGTTTGAGGTTCTGATACCAAATTAGGATATTCTTTAGAGATCGGTTAATATGTGAGCAGATTTATCAGTGTTGTAGGAAATATGCTAAATTGACATGTAATTCATGCCATTTGTGATGAATATTGTTAACATATAATAAAAATAGTAATGGCCTGGGAACAGAGCCCTGGGTTATGCCTGCCCAAGTATTCATGCTTTTTGCTTTTTGAATGAGCTTCATTGAATTTAACTTTACCTGTTTCTCAAGAAGTCAGGGATCTAAATAAGTGCATTACCTCTGACACATCATATTTATGGACGATCTCTGTGTGTTTGTGCCTCCATCCTGTGTTGAACGCAGACGACATATCAAGAAAAACAACAGTAGTTTTCCTGGGATTTTTTTTTTTTTTCCCCTGGAAATCAGCAATGATGGATTTGCAAAGAACAACAGCTGATTGGCAGTTGAATGATGTTTTCTGTAGGCAGCTTGGTAGTAGTGTAGGTTTCTTTGTTCAGTAAGAATTTTAAGGATTCTAGGGTTAATAATTTCTTGCATGATTTTGCATAGTATACTGGTTAATGCAATGAGTCTATAATTCTTTCACTTATTGGGAGTTTTCCCCCAGCATCAATATTAAGATTATTATTGATATTTTCTTTACTTTTGTTAATTTCCCATTTTTATTGATTGTTTCTAAACATTGTTTTCTTGCAACAATTCCAAAGTATTTAAGCATTTGGCCCAAAACTAGATCACATCATGATGACTTTGTAGGATAAAAATTGCCTGTTATGTCATTCATTTCTTCCACAGTACTGTCTTCTGACATGGAGTTATTGTTTTGAACAAAAGCTCTGCAACGATGCATCATGTGTTGGTGTTGCATTAAGATTCTTCAATGATACTGCTCCTGGCCATCTAATATATTGGTCAACAGCATCCAGCACATATTTGTAGCCTCAACAACTTGGTTTCCACAGGTCCTATGATATGTCATCGATTAACTGAAATGGTCCATTAGGGCATATGGTTGGCATAATAGGAAATTCTTCAAAAGAGCACTTTTTAGCTTGACGTTGATATGAAGTACATGTGTTGCAATATTCATTCACATTTTTCTTGATTCCAGGCCAGTAGACAAAATATCTCAATCATGTGACAGTCTTCTGGGTTCGTATGTGAGCTCCTTGTAAATTAGAATGAGCTAAGTGCAAAAGTTCTTTTTGTCTCTCCTTGGGAACAATTAACTGGTGAACCATTTCTCCTAAAATTTTATGTTTGTGGTATAAAAATTCATCAGTGACTATTAAATTATTGCTTCCATTCTTACATTTTTTATTAATGAGTTTTTCCCTATCATGTTTAAACATTTCATCAAAATTTTCAATTTTGTAAAAGGGCATTTTAACCAAACTATCAATAAATACAGAGAGGCTGTTCACACATTTTTTAGATGATTTTGCTTTCCTATAATAAAAAATCATCAATTTCCAACATAATAAATTGAACTAATTATTTTTTAGATTTTCTGACGAATTGCTTTACTGGAACATTTGTAATCCAATTTGAACATATGTAATCCAGCATAAATATAGCACTTCGTGTCATCACTGTGAGATTTCTTCATTGCATAATTAACATAAACATGTTGCTTGCTCTTTATAAGGTGTTGCAGTCTATAATATTAACACATGAACAAATACATATTACATAAATTGAATAACATAATATTCCTCTGGCTTCCTGTGTAACATACATAAGCCATTATCATGATATCACCTTTCTGATGTCAACAATTAATGTAATAAAATTATAGTTCAAAGAATGATGGATGTTAGAATAAAGAAACCAGAAATGGTTAGCAATACACTTGGAAAAATTATGCTTGTGGGAATGTTAGATTGAACTTCTACTGTATAGAAATAGATTCACTTCTAATAATTATGTGTATTTTATTTTCATAAAATCTTATGAATGTCTTTTTGTTTTTATAATAGAGGTCCACACTATACCAGCTAAGATGTTCAGAAGAGTATTAACTATTGTTCAAGCTCATTGTAAGTTGGGATTGACTGCCACGCTAGTAAGAGAAGATGATAAAATTCAAGATTTAAATTTTTTGATTGGTCCTAAATTATATGAAGCAAACTGGCTTGAACTGCAGAATTCTGGATATATTGCTAAAGTGCAGTGTGCAGAGGTTCGTGTTAATTATGTTTCATTGATACTTTTTTAAAGTAGTATGTAATTAAATTAAATAATTTAAAATTTGCTAGAAAAAAATCTAGTTATCAGAAAACTCTTATTTTAATACTATTTAATTAGCCAAAGGAAATGACCAAATATAGTAATGAGAAAAATTTTTATTACTAACCTACTTAACTTAATTACCAATTTCATTTTATTGTGAATTAGAATGGTGTCACATGGGAAAAAAACTACTATAAGTATAAAATTTTAGGTCAATTCCTCTTCCAAAATATATTAAGTGCATCATATTTTCTTTCCCTTAAATCACATGATGACTGCCTCTGAAAATGAAGAATGTTTCTATGAACAGAAATAAATATTTGAACTGAACATCCTCTATAGAAAACCAAATTCATCTGGAACTATAGCTTGTCTTAAAGAGAGTTTGTTGCATTTTTGTTTGCAAAATACTGTTGAGACCTTAAATAATGGAATATTAATATTTTATTGACAGAGTTACATTAATTGAGATGGTTCACTTGAGTCATCACAGTTTTCCAATAAATTTTAGAGTAGTTATTAAATTATAAATTAAATTCATATAAATTGTAAATATTCCTGCCTTTAATAAGAAATTATTCATATTCTGTCCTTTTTTATGACTACTTAAGTTATTTCTTGAATGTTTAAAACATCCATTGTGTTGCTTAGATTGTACGTATAAGATATTTTCTAAATTTTTCCCCTTCTAATTAAATCCGAATTTGCAATATGTATAAATGTTTGGTATCACAATATCTTAGAATTCCTCTGTTATTAAATTTTCAGGACAAATATTGATACATATCATAATTTTCATTTCAGATTGAATTAATAATGATATAATTCAAATAATATCACAGTATATTTTATGTTGTCCAGATACTTAATAATAAAGTATAATGTAAAATAAATAATTGACCTTTCTTGAATCAGATACTAAATACAATTCAGAATTATACATAATAGTTTTAAATTATAATTTTTGTCAAAGAAATAATAAGGTGTTCAATAGAAGAAATAATAGATAAGAAGATAATAGATAGAAGAAATAATAATAAGAAATAATAGATTTTCTTTTAAAAGCATCACATTATACAAGTGCTTTGATTATGAAAAATTTAGTGTATAGTTTCCTTTTAAATGTTAAAATAATTTTTAAATATATTTTTAGGTTTGGTGTCCAATGAGCCCTGAATTTTATAGAGAGTATCTAATAGCAAAAGCAGCCAAAAAGCTAGTAAGTTAACCACAATCTGCATTACAAAGTTATTTGATGATTTGAAAAAAATCAACTTTTTATTCTTAGTCTGCCCTGCATTGATTCTTAAGAATATGGTTGAATGAGTATAAGTACTGTAGAAATGCTAATTGCAAATAGAATTGATCTGTTTTATAGCATAATAAGTAAACCAATAAATTGAGCACATTGTGACTAATTATATAAAATGACATTGCAATTCATTTGATGCATGTGATTCTGATGTTTTGGAAATATGTTTTATTTTCATCTAATTATGCAACTTAATGGAGAACAAAGCAAAGGTACAATTATTGTCAGTTAATTTAGCTGACAGTGAATTGGAATGACCACTGACTGGGAACAAATCTCAATGTGTAAAGAGTTTTCTTTTCTTATTTGAAAAAATATGCCTTTTGTTGTTTAAGCTTTTTGTATTATTATTATTTAATGTGTTATGGCATTATTATCCTTTTAATGCATTATTGTATTTTATCTACACATGATTATTTTATCTATTGTGTTATTGTATTTTAATACATTCTTTTGAAAGAAAAAAAAGCACCATGAAGGAAGTGGTTGTTTTTGACAAAATTGAACATGTGTATAGCTAAGACACAGATAATAAAATGATTAAAAAATCAAATCATAGTACATGTTCACGGCTTACAATCGCCCATTGAGTGTTCAAATTAGTAGTTAGTTGAACTGCCCCTGGTGTCAATGCATGCTTGAATTCGTCGAGGCAAAGAGTGGTAGAGGTTCCTAATGTCATCCTGCAACACATTCTGCCAGGCATTCATCAGTTGTCGCTCCAGATCAGTGATATTTTGTGGTGCCCGAATCCGGCGGCCTACCATTTCCCAGACATGCTTGGTTGGTGAAAGGTCTGGTGACCTTGCTATCCAAGGAAGAGTATCAACTGTACAGAGACAGTCCAGAGATATGCGAGTGGTATGTGGCTTGGCATTATCTTGTTGGAAAATGGCCCCAGGATGACGTGCCATGAAGGGTAATGCAACCAGCCGCAGGATGGTATCAACATATCGTTGAGCTGTTAAAGATGTACAGAGGATGCTTAAAGATGACCTGCTGTCATAAAAAACAGCACCCCACATCATCACACCAGAGCTTATGGCTATATGCCTTTGTAAAAGGCTGACTGGGAGCGTTGGCTCCGTCCTTTCCGGACACAAACACGGTGGTCATCTGCTTCAAGAGTGAAGCGGGATTCATCACTGAACACTATATGATGCTAGTCTGGTGGCAGCCATGACGATCGGCTACAACACCACTTCAGACGACTCCGCCGAAGTTGTGGAGTCAAAGGCAAACATCTTAAAGGCCTCTGTGAGCGTAACCCTGCCTCAGACAAGCAGCGTGAGATGGTGGATGGTACCATAGGAGGTATAGACGTGGCTATAGTGCGTTGAATAGTTGACAATGATACCGTTGGGGCGTTTTGGGTCATCCTATCTTGCCTTGCATCTGTGCTCCTTGGCCTTCCAGAGCTTTCATTTCATCAGTAGTTTCTGTGTGGCAACCATTGCTGCCAACATCTTTGCACAGCAGTGTGTGTATGCTACAGGCGGCTGCCTATTGCTCGGTATGGCCACCTAGCTTCATGCTATCCTACAATGCGACCACGTTCGAAGTCGTTTAGTTGTCTGTAAGGTCTTCGATTTCATCCTGATGGCATCTTAAGTTGCTTCTTTACGGAATTACTATGGCAGCAACAAAAAAGATAAATTTTCCGCCTCTGTTACTGATTTTATACTTTGCGAATTGCGCACTAGAAATGCGTGCTGTGATCGCAATTTTTGTTCATTTGCCTTGAAACTTTGATCATTTGCATGTTTGATCAAGATGGTTTTGCATACCAAATTTTGTCACGATCGCAAAAGTCCTTCTTGCTGCTTCAGTTTTTTGGCAAAAGGAGTGTATTATTTTTTATGTATTATTTCATTGTTTCTATTATATTATTACTTATAGTATTATATTTTAGTTTTCTTATTATAGTATTATTTATATTGTTATATATATATTCTTTTTTCTCTATGCATCTAGATATTATGTATTATTGTATATTATTATATAACCTCTGTGTATTATTGAGTTTTTTAATTACTTCAGTAAGCATCATGGCATTTTTGTGAAACACAAGGAGTTGTGCTATTGTTTTCTTAAATAAAAGTTAAAAAATAGCATTTAATCTGCCTTTTATAATGTAGATTAAGTGTTAAATAATTTTATATATATAATCTTATTATATGTTTAATAATTTCAGACTCTGTTCAATTATTTAATATGTGTTTTATTTACATTTCAGCTTCTTTTTGTTATGAATCCAAATAAATTCAGAGCCTGCCAATTCCTAATTAGGTATCATGAAATAAGAAGCGATAAAGTAATTGTTTTTTCAGATAATGTATTTGCTCTCAAACATTATGCCATAAAAATGAATAGGTAACAAATATTTCTGCTTCCTTTTAAATTTTCATTAAGTGTTTTAATTAAGTTCATGGAATTCTTTTTCAGGTTTCTTGTAATGTCATGTATGTGTATGAAAAACTTAATTCTTTTAATTTTTTAAGAAGCCTTTTAATAATTTTTTCCTTTTTTGGTGTTTCATGCATTATGTATGATTTTTAAAAAATTTTATCTATTCCTTAGTTGTTGTTTTTTTTTTTTTTAATATATTTTTCATAAGAACTTTGTTAATTATTAAGCAAAAATTTTGAGCTTCTGTTTTTATTTTATTATCTTCATTTATAGTAAAAGCATCTTATTTCCTAAAATTTCAGTTTATTAGGCAGAATAGAAAGTGGTATTGCAACATATTAAAAGTGTGGTTTTAACCCATATTTTACCAATGATCGAAGAAATTAAAATTTTTATTTGAAATTTCTAATTTTGTTTTCTAAATAGATAAGAAAAAATAATAAATTGAAAAATATACGAAACTTTTATTTTCTTTGAGTTTACAGGCTGTCCTATATATAGGACGATGGTCAAATCCAGTTACAAGGCATTCTTTTCTTTCAAGTCCATTCTTTTGAATGGAATGGTAAAAAACAACTCGAACATTAGCCAATATTAGATTTTTTACAAATAGTTGTCGGTTTCCTAATACAATTTTTTTAATTGACAACGATGTTGACGTCCATCACGGTTTTTGACAATCACATGATCAGTTTGCATTTGCAAGAAGTCCGGATTTGTCTGTTGCATACCTAATGTTCTGCCTTGAATTTTCCTAGGTATTGATAATCCCAAATAGCTGACTTTTATAGCCCATCGATATTCTAGAAGATCAAGAGCTTTGGTTTCTTTTATATATATTTTACAACCATGTCGACCGAAATAGGTCATCATTCTTTGATCAATGCTTAGATGTTCGGAAAATAATACACCTAATTGTAGTAAGCATCATTCAGTGTAAATCATAAGTTGGATGTACTTTGTAAATAGAGGTAATGGTGCTATTGTGAATGAAATGAATGTAACCGCCTTGATTTCAAGAATATCTATTTCGTGGCATTGCTCGACTAAATAGTATAGTTCCTGTGTCTGGCACGTTTTCCCAAGACATTTTTTCAGGTAGCCACTATAAAAAAGTATACCTTAGAATTGCTTGAGTTCTTTTGTTTTGTCAGTGAAAAATTATGATTATTTGTCTGCCCAGTGTATCTGTTACAATCAATAACACCTTTGTCTATCATTTTTTCAGCGACATACTCAAAGAGTTCTGTAGGAGATTTTCCAGAAACAAAATCAGTTAGAGACTGACTAGAATCTTGAGAAAGTATTTCTGAAGCACGTGAATATTTAGGAACGCAATCTTTCCAATCAGTTTTGGCACATATTATTTCATCATCTTCATTTCCTACTAAAGTTTCCACAGTTCCTACTGTTTATATAGTTCCTGCTGCGTTTTTGTCACAAATAGCTTATGTGCATTTAGTCTTAGTGCAGACATCGTGTATTTATTCATTGCCACTGACTGCATCTGGATCAGGTGGTATTATTACCATTTCCGGCTCAGTATCTTCATCATCTAATGTCATAAAATATTCCAAAGCTTCTTCAGATGTTAGAAATTTTCGACTCATTTTGGATGCATAAAATAAATATACCTTACAAAATAAACGTTCACAAAAGTAAATTTCTTTCATACAAATAAAACGTGTGAAACGGCTTTCAGATGCTAAACATACCTCTTTACAAAAGGAGACGCAGTGCAGGAAATAATTGATTGCTACATTTTACACCGAGGAGATGAAACGGGCGTAACCATTTCACTCCAAAGCGATGTTATGTTTTAACGTCATATAATAGTGGATTTTACTATTGTCCTATATATAGGACGCTCTAAAAAAAAGCAAAATAAGGATCTATAATATTTTTCTTCGGAATTTTTGTCATTCACATTATGGAGACGTATTTTTTAACATAAATCAAAACTTTTTGTTTTACATTTTTCCTCTTTTTTACATGTTCAAAAAATATAATGCAAAAAATCAAAATTAGTCCTTTTTGTATGTTTTTAAAAAAACAGGTTTATAAAGGACAAAACTTAAAAGAAAATAGCTAATATAACAAGCAGCTTTCTAGCAATAATATAATGTGAAAGAAGTAGTTTAAACATTATTACTTTTTTTGTACAGCCATCAAATATGCACTGTCCTGCATATAGGACAAAATATGTCCTGCATGGTAAAATATGGGTTAAAATTAATTATTTGGTTATCCAAAATGTTCTGCATTTTTTTTATCAAAGTGTGTTTTCTTCCAATTATTATGTATATTTATTCTTACGTTGATAAGGAGAGACCTTGATTAAAGTGGATATTTAAATATGGTCTTTTCTGTTCACAATTTTATAATTCTAGTCTGTCTTGTGGCATAGTTTTTGTTTTGGTCTATGGTGAATAATGGAGAACCAAAAATTTTAATTTTTAAAAAGAAAAAAATGCTAATCAGACCACATATAATTTTTTGCTGTATATTGACAAAGTGCTGTTTTTGATGACTAAATTTAAAGGTGCTTTGAAAGATTTTCAAGAGCAGAAATTTCAGCCTCAAAGGTAATGATCATCCTTTTAAACAAGGAACCTGTTAAAAGAACTTATTGCTGAAAATTCATATTATGCAATTCAGGAATTATCAAACAAACTAAATAGTCTATGATCATTTGAAGATGTTGGGTATGTAAGCCACTACATTGTATTGGTACCTTATACTTTAACAGAGGAGAACATGTTTACTTGAATTTCAGCATGTAATTCTTTACAGAAAAGAATTAAAGAAGCTTCTTTTTCAACTGGCTAATTACTGGAGAGGAGAAGTAAATACTATAAAATAATGTTACAAGAAAAAAGGTCATGGGTCAAAAGAACCTCCTTTAGTGATATTAAAAGAGGGTCGCATTGCAAAAAAGTAATGTTTTGTATATAGTGGGAGTACAAAGAAATTATACACTAAGAATTGTTACCATCAAATCAGATAATAAATTCAGCAAAATACTTTTCCCAAATAGCAGTTTTAAAAGCAGAAATTGAAGCAAAAACAATCAAACTAATCAATTATTGAGGGTATCTTTTATCATAACACTGAACCTACCTTCTGATGAATGTCAATAATTTACTGAATATGGCTGGGATGTTTTGTGTCATTCCTCTCCCATATTCATTAGACCTTTGTCCTCTCAGATTTTCATCTCTTCAGGCCATTTCAAATTTTTTGAATTTTCTGTTCATTTCTTTGAATACTGTCAAACAGCATCTTGATAACTTCTCTAAGAATATACCTTATGACTTTTCTAAAAAGGAATTTACCAAATTCCTGTAGAAGTGGTAAAAAGTCATAGAACAAATTGGTGCATATGTGATTTAATGAAATTTTCATGTTTTTGTACTGCTTCATTTGCCTTTATCGTAAAAAAAAAAAAAAAAAAAAAAAAAAAAAAAAAAAAAACCACAGAACTTTTCAGGTGACTTAATAATTAATTGCTATAATATTTGGTTTATCTGGGGTTCTGAGCAGGGTCGATAAAATTTTAAAAGGGGTCAGTGATGTCAGAGTCGATAGCTACTCATGAAAGTTACCGCAAATCAAGATCCCACTATTCAAAAAACATTTATTATAAAAATTTTTAGTTCAGTGTTTATGATGTAAAGCGTAGCCTGTAGTTAAATAAAATACAAAAATTATTTAATATCTTTTTAATCAATAATATTTTTAATATATATATTTCAGCATAAAGTGCAATAAGCTGCATGAACCAAAATAGTGATATTTCTCTCTTTTCTCTACTTAGTCATGGAATAATTTACTGAGAAAACAAAAAGCAGTTAATATGTTAACATTTTTTTGAGTAGCAATTTCTGCTATCCGGGGGAAATTATTGCATCAGTACATCAGACATAACCTTACTTAATAAAATCAAATTTTTGGCTATAGAACCTTAATTTGTTTCGAAAACTAGTTTACATTCCAAAATTAGATAAAGTAAACAAAAATAATAAAAACAAAATCTACAACCATTTCAAAACTTTTATTTCACATCTAGTCTAATGTTAAGATTATGCTGTCTGCTGTTATGATTATGCTTAATCGAAACTGTAAGTAGGGTCTATTACAAAACCATTTTTTTTTTTTTTTTTTTTTTTAAGGGGTCATGTAAGAAAAAAGGTGGAAACCTGATACCTGATTTCTAACTACATTGAAATCAAATTTATTTTTCTAACATTTAGTAATATGCAAAGTAGTTAACAATATGTGCCACAGATTCATTGGTATATGCTTTACAGTGGTAGTTTGGCATTGTCCACCAGGTGTTTTTCAATCAAAGCAAATGATATTTAAGGAGGTCCTGGGATTCTGAAAAATGTTGTCTTTTGTTAATTATTTTAAAATTCCATAAGTTTTTTTTTTTTTTTTTTTTTTTTTTAAAGGCTGAATACCATGTATAGGAGTTGATTACTTTTCTAGTCCCCCAAAAAATAATTTATTCCTTTTTTTTTTGAAGAATTTTGCAAAACGTAGTACAAGCATATTGATCTACATAGTTTACATTACTGATATCTGTGATATAACTTAGAACCACTTCAGACTTATACACTGATGTAATATAATGGTAGGTTTCATTCCTTTATGATGGAAACTGCTGAGCATTAGAACTGTCCTCTTACACTTTCATGCAAGTTAAGTTGTTGTTTGTGTGTTTCTTTTTAGGATGTGCCACTTTACTCCACTCCTTCCTCTTTGTTATTATTGTCAAGTTAAAAACTTTAGTTTTTAAATGTATGAATATCTTCTTCCAGTTGGCTTAACTGTGCCGACAGGGTGACATTTGGTAGTTCTACTAATAATGTTGATTAATATCTATTGGTAAAAACTAAATAATCTTCTGCACTAGAAACTCGATTCAATAAATTTTTATTTTATAAAGGTAAAGGGTTGTGGTGCTTACTAAAATATCAGATTGGAAGATACATTCAGATGTTAAGCTGGAAAAATAGGGAAGTATTGAAAAAAGATATCCTGTTGTTGAATCAGCTGCTGCATAGATGTGCATTTCCTATTTGGTTGGATTGTATGTTTTGAATGATATTCTGGCTTTAGTTTTAATGACAGATTAATCAACAGAAATTGCTGGATTTGGTATGAAATACCATAAAAGTTTTGAATATGTATTTCAAATAATCACTGGCATTTGGAATACAAGTTCTATCATTCAAGAAATTAAATCTAAAAGATTTGCGTAAACCTTTCGTTATTGAGTGTTATGGAAAAGAAATATATTTACTATCCTTAGCAGTTGACTAATAATATTTTATACCTGAATTATTCTAATATGTAGAATGACACTGATAAAAGCTAAACATTCCTGTTTTTATCAATATCATTTGTGGCAAATTTGATAATTCTTAATACCCTTTATACACTGAACAGTCAAAACATTATGACCACTTATTCAATAATGCATTTTATGACCTTTGGCCTGCAAAACAGCTGCAACTCGCCTTGGCATGGATGCCACAAGTGCTTGGTAGATGACTGGAGACAGGTTATACGAAATATCTAAGCAGCAGTCATGCAAAGTTGAGATATTCTGACATGGTGGTGTTTGAGCTGTAAGCTGTTGCTCCAAGACATACCAAATGTGCTGCTTCAAATCCAGCCAGTTAGGTGGCTAGGACATTTAGTGGAATGCATCTTCATGCTCTTCAAACTACTCCCAACGTAATTCGAGCCTTGTGACATGGGATGTTGTCCTGCTGGAATATTTAATTTCCAGTTGGGAAGACAGAAGCCATGTAAGGGTGCAACTGATCCACAGTTATGTTCAGATAGTCCGAGCTTTCATCGTCTGTTCTACTTACAAGTAAGGGTCCCACAGGCACCCATGAGAATATTCCCACCCTCCCCAAAGCATAATACCGCCACCACTAGCCTGTGTGTCACTTGTTGTATACTGGAGGAACTTTTTACCTGGAAGATGGCGTATCCTGACATGACCATCAACATGATGAATGAGAAATTATGATTCATTCAACCAGATAAGTGTCTTCGAGTTATTCTTGGTCCAGTCTCGATGTTCCCACGCCCACTGTAGGCATAGCTGACAGTCACACTTGGTCAACTGAGCCACACGAGTGGGACTTCTGCTGTGCTGTCCTATATCAAACAGTGTCCAACCAAACAGTGTGTGTCTGGCACCGATTTTGTTGTGCCAAGTGAGATAGTCTCTGATGTCCTTTTTCTTTGATGATGCATGGACGTCCAATACTTTGGCATCAACTGCTGGTTTCACCTTCATTTATCTACTTTGCATAAATACTAATAAAGGCAGATCTTGAACAACCTACCATTTGTGCAGTTTCGTAGATACTCGTTCAGGCCAATACAATCCACCTTCTACTAAATTCAGATCGTCCAGCGGCCAAGCAATAAAGTTGCTGAAAACTGGTAGTTTGGTCCAAGGTTTGAATCCCACAAATGGGCTGGCTGCATGGTCATTTTCATAGTTTTCACCATGTGTAATGTGTATGCTAGCCAGTTTTCCTTATAAAGTCCTCCTGGAAGGCATCCCTCCCTGTAGGCAGATAGCCCTCTAGACTTTGCGGTAATTATATAAACCAACCAAACACTCATCTATCATACACTTAACACTTACTTTCTACTCTCTCTTACTTTCTACTCAATTTCTACATTCTCTCTCACTGCACTCACAAAAGTAAGTGCAGGAATGATTCCTTACCTTCTCCAGGAGCGCTTAAATACCACTTAATCACGTGACCTCCACGTCATCCAGACGGGTTCATTGAAAAATGTTGAGGTGGTCATAATGTTTTGGCTCGTTAATGTGTAATATATAAAATTTAATAATCTGTATATATATGAAATTTTGCATCTTTTTTTTAATTGATCCTTTTTTGTTAATTGGGATATCAGTCTTAATTGTGCACCAAAGTGCCAAATGTGGTAATCTATTTTTTAATTTTATCTTAGCCTAATAAAATTTTTATTCTTATATTCATTCTTTTCAGGAAAAATTGTTTTTGTTGTTTTTCATTTCAGACCTTATATTTATGGTCCAACATCTCAAGCTGAGAGAATGCAAATTTTGCAGAATTTTAAGTATAACCCTAAGGTGAACACAATATTTGTTTCCAAAGTTGCTGATACATCTTTTGATCTCCCAGAAGCTAATGTCTTAATCCAAATATCCAGTCATGGCGGCTCAAGACGGCAAGAAGCTCAAAGACTTGGTAGAATTCTGAGAGCAAAAAAAGGTTCTTTTATTAAATTTATTAACTTAATATTTTGCCATATATGTATTAATGCATGAAAAATAAATATTGTTTTATACAAAGTCCAAGATCAGGACGTCCGTGATTCCTGATTTATGATTTTTCTGGGTATTAAGACCATCACTTTAAATCTAGTAAGATGACATATAGAAATTATGAAATTAAAAATATGAAATAATGAAGTATTTACGTCCTTGAAACTTTCCAAGATTTGCAGGGTTCAAAGATTCAACTAGTCCATCTCTGATAAAAATCAAGTCAGGGTTTGTATTAATGCCAGTCAGTCATGAAGATAACATTTTATGACAGTTTTATCTTCACCAGATTGTGCCACTTAGGAATATTTATGTAGTAAGAAATGTTTTTAAAATAAAATTACAGTTATTTTATTTAATGTTTACCTTTTCTTTTTAAATCAATCTCATTACCTATGTTACTACTTTATATGAATAGCTTAAGTTATGCAATCATTTTCCTTGCTAAAATTTTAAAATTACTAATCTAGAAATGAGCTTTTGGACTGTGTAATTTTAGTGATATTAGTATGATAAATTTTATCACTAAATGCATGTAAGATATAACAAAATATAATAGCTGCTTTAAAAAAAATAATTGGCGACCTCAAAATTAACATTTTAGATTTGATGCTCTCACCTCAAATTCATCTGTTCTCCCAAATTCGATATCTTTCTATGTTTATGTAACGCTACTGGAAAAGAGCAACTAAAATTAATATTAACCTATCATAGCTTGTTTATAGAATTGCACCTACTTTGGTATAAATACTTCTGGCAACCTAATTATGTCCTTATTCTGCTAACTTCTACCTTGCTAATATCTCCTCTCTTACCTTCGCTTCTGTAAGGTGCCTGTTTCATTTCTTGTTAAAAACCAATGTACAGGGAAATGTATTATATTTCATTATGATTGAATAAATATTACTGAGATGATTTTATATGCGTGGAAATAAAGATGACAGGGTTCGTAGCGGTCCTTATAAGTGCTTATAAGTCCTTATATTTGAAAATAAAATATAAAGGCCCTTATAGGTGCTTACTTTTAATTTAAAGCCCTTATTTTTTTGTTTTTAGTGCTTATTTTTTGCTTTTAGTGCTTTTTTTTTTTTTTTTAATGAACGCGCTATTTTTCCCGGTACCAAAGCCGAAACTAAATAAACAACTTTTCTAATATGGAATGTCAGATGGTAATCATACTCCCGAAATAGCTTTTCCCCTGTCTCTGCATTAACATAACCTTTGGTGTGCACGAATAGTACAGACAGGTGCCCGTCGTTCTATTGGTCAAAATGCGAAAGTAATAATAAAGGGAAAGTAATCGAATATTCAAAGAATTTGTTTTTTTGGCCAATACATTATACAGTACGAAGATTGGGAGGTTCTCCCCTTTCTCCGCAAAATCTCGAATATTGAAACTGTTACGTTCGTTGCAAACAAGCAACGGACTTTTTTTTTTTTTTTTTTTTTTTTTTTTTGTCACTTTCCAATCTGGATTGAATAGGACTAAAGTTTCTGCGGTCTACCAACCCAACGAAGAATGATTCTATTCTGAAAATTTAACGCCGTCTGTTGAAAATTAGAATGAAAAACACCCCAGTTATTTAGTTCTTTATTCTCCCAATACCGGCAGCTGTTGATTCCGACTGCGTAATATCACGTAGGGAAGAATTACGGCGCACGTATTGCGCAATAACGCTTGCAATATTTTGCAGAGATAATTAATTTTGATGTTCTGCCTGAGATTTGTTTATGAACACTTAAAAGAGTTTTGCTGTGTTTGCTAAGCAGAATATTTTTCAGTTCCATTGGTTTATTTTTATATGATGCGCATATCGAAATGTCAAAAGCATTTATTTAGCGGAAAAATTTAAAGAGCGGCTACAGTCTACCCCCCCCCCCGCTCCTCTTTTTCAAGTTACGCTCGACTGTCCGAATATTCGCCAATTTCCAAGTATGCGGGTTAGTTAAGATTTTACTGTTAAAGGATTACTGCATGAAGCAAATTTCTGTCTTCTGATTTCAGAAATGTTCCTCTTTTTTACTTAAATTACTTTGCTTGCAATATCTGTTAAGAGAAAACTGATATACAATGAAAATTTAGAAAATGTTCAGAATTTAGATTTAAATTATTTAAATATCAATATGAGTGCAAAAATAAATTGTATTTATTATTAGGTTCCAGTGAAATACAATAAATATGCCTTATTATTATTTATTTTCTCTATTTTGAACTGAAATTTCATCATTAAATCTTGTACTAGTTTTAGTTCTGCATAGTTTCTTTTTTTTTTTTTTTTTCTCTCATTGTAAACTAGTTCTGTAAATTGAACTATTATTTAAAATTTAATAAAATAAATAATTATTTTCCATGGTTGAGGTAATGCTTATTCTTTCTTAATAAATACTGCATTTCTCATATTTTAAATTACAAGTCTAATTTTTAAGGTTATGCAGTTGTGTATAATGTAATTAGACAGGTGCTTATTTTTTTCTTAAAATGTTCTTGAAAAGTGCTTATAGGTGCTTATTTTTTTAACTAAAATGTGGCTATGAACCCTGGATGAGAATTGGCTGAACTTAGTTTGGCATCAACTTCTTCCTCTCGCCCTAAAACTCAGCCATCACGGCAGTGCTTCTAAATCATTACATGCATATCATTACAAAGGAGATTTACATAGATATAAAATTTTACTGACATGCCACTTGTTACATTTGAACAGATGGCAGGTAATTTCAGTTTGAAAAGATAAAAATTTTAATTTTAATTTCTAATTAAATTCTAGATAAAATGTTATCTAAATTTTTGAAGTAGGAAGACTAAATGATTTTCAGATTATGTGTTTTACATTGTTTTTTCCTCTCATATAATTCCTTGAAATAAGATGAGAAAAAATTATTCATTTAACACTTTTCACCGAGATAAAATTTATCATAAACATTTATCATAAACAACATAGCAAAACTGTTCTGACAGTAAGATATATTAATTATGTTTTTGCCTGTTCTTAGTAGTAAAGAATTATAACCTAATAAAGCCTTTTTATGCATACTTAGAGATCTCATCATCAGAAATTTAAAACAAAATGCCAGTTTAAAAATCCATTAAAAATAAACAAAATTTTAGTTGTGATTAATATGTTGTTTTAATGATTTTTAAAATTATAACATAATTTTAAAATGATTCATTGAGAACAATACACTGGCTTCCAGAATTTGAGCATGCAATGCAAATTATCAATTTCCGAATGTATAGTTAAATTGGGCTGAAAATCATTGTGGATGCAGATAGCTGTGCAAATGTCGTATTTTACAACCGGTCACCGTTGACTGTCCGAACATGTTAAAGACAGCAGTATTCCAGAGACTTTGAGAAAATTTATTTAAATAATGATACATATTGTTTCTAACATTCCTAATGTAATGTTTGAGGATATTTGTGTTTCTGTGGCAGCAAGATGGTGAGTGGCAGTTAGTGCTGGCATTCTGTCAGATATATTAAAGCAGAGTATTCAGTCAAATATTTTTTTTTTTTTTCTTTGGCATTGACCATTCAGTAATTTCTCGAACATGGAAACAATTCCAAACAAGTCAAACAGTTGTCCGAAAATCTGTGCCTAGCCAAACAAGAGTTACACTCACCCCATCTGAAGATTGGTATAGTAGTCAAGTGAAATCAATGAGCAACCTCCACAGCTGTTACATCTATGGGTGCAGTGTAACTTGGTTAGACAATATCTACCAGTATTGTATGCCAAGAATCAAGCTTTGAGGATCTACTAAACATTCAATCCATAGACACAATATTATTAAAGTGGTGGTGTCAACATCTCAAAGATGATAATGCCTTCTCTTTCAAGCTAGCATCATTAATGAGTACCTGAAGACTGAAGGCATTTCCCATATTAAATGGTCACTAAATTTCTTTGACCGTAAATCATTAAAAATAGGATGCCGTAATGAGGGACTGCACATTATTAATATCTGCAGTGGTTGATTATTTCATTGAAATTGCTGTAAAGTTTGTGTGAAGGTCTGGTGTGGTCACATACCTTGATGTAAATTTTGTTTGTATGTTTTTATCTTTTAAATGTCAACTTGTTATTGATCCATTGTTCTATTTTTGTATTCTATGCTTGTAAAAGTTTCTGCATACTAGTCCATGAATGAAGATCATAAAAATCGGAATAAGATGTTTTATAAGAAAAAGATAATTGTAATTGCAAGTAAAATCAATGTTATCCATATTTCTTACTTAAAAGAATAAATTCTAATGGTATTCTTAAATGAATACATATAGCAACTAATAATGAAAATTTTAAATAGATCAGAGTATTTTTATAATTTCAAAACAATCTTGTCATGAAAGTTTTATTAATATTATTTCATGTTTTCCAGGAGCTTATGCTGAAGAATATAATGCATTTTTTTATACACTGGTATCTCAGGATACTATGGAAATGCATTACTCTAGAAAGCGACAGAGGTTTCTTGTCAATCAAGGATATAGTTACAAAGTCATTACAAAATTAATGGGAATGGATGAAGTGAGTTTTTTGTTTTTAGCCCCCCTCCCCTCCAATATGTTTTTTCTTTCTGTAAATTATTCAAGTAACCAACATAATCTGCTTATTTTCAGCAAGAGGAATTAGCTTATAAAACAAAAGACGAACAAACTCAGCTGTTGCAACAAGTCTTAGCAGCAAATGATGCAGATGCTGAAGATGAAAAAATTCCAAGTGAATTTTCTGGGGGGAAAACTCAGGTATTTTAAATTTTTATTAAAATGAGAATTGTAATTCAAAACATAAAATTTTCTATCTTAATATTCATTGAAGTTCCCAAAGACTTACTACAGTCAAAAGTCTTTAATCCGAACTCGTCGAGACTTTGTCAATTCTGGATTATTGGTTTTTACGGATTATAGATCATCAGTTTAAATCTGGTAAATGGCATGCAGAAATTATAAAATTAAAATATGAAACCATAATTTATGAAATAAAGAGCAATTATGATCTAAAGGGTATCAAAATTTACAAAAAAAACTTAATATTTATATGTTTACTTTATTAAACATTTCTTTCAACGCGTGCATGCATAAAGCATACATTATGCATAGTCGAAATTAGAAAATTGCAACCAGAAAACTATTTGATGTGTATTCATGATATTTATAATGACGAATTTGGTTTAAATCATATCAAAGGAGTAAATCGAGATGAAATACATGTAGTAAGGAATTATAAGCCGAATAAAATAAAAACAGCTGCCCTGAAGTTAAGGATAGTGATGACAGATCAACTTCCAGTTCATTGCATGCTGCGATGTATCCCCCCCCCTCCGCAGAGCAGCGTGAAATTGATAAACAAATTTCGGAATGGTTCGAGAAACAAAGGATGTGCCTTTACCCATTTTTTGCAGCAATTCCATTTTTTGTTTGATGGACATCGAAACATGCTTTCACTTTGTAGATTCTTTGGCAGCTCCAGAATCGGAAATTCTTTTTGACATAATCGAAAGTTCAAGCTTACTTTTATAAAATTGCTCTAATCAGTCTGCAAAAAATAATAAGCCGGATCCAATTTGAAGATTAAGGAAAAACACAATCTGTAACATTAACTGAAATAGATAATTAGATAATTTTATCTTAGCTTATACCATTCATTATACATTAAACACGCATGCGTAAACAAATGCATGCGCAGAAAGTTTGTAGCTTTGAGGTCCGGATTATAGATCATTCTAGATTATGGATGTCCGGATTAAAGACTTTTGACTGTATTAGTATTTTGCATTATACTGAGCAGCAAAATATTATCCACTTCAGTTTAAAAATCCTCTTAATACCATATTATTATAGCTTTGGCATGCAAACCCGTGCTCTGGGACATCCAAGATGTCCATAATAGAATTAATATCTTATGAAATAGGAGGCCATGGCATAAGTTAAAATTCATATGCATATTTCTTGCATACCATAACATAATTTTGACTTTAAGTCCTGCTGGAAGAGGTCTTTGGAAAGTTTCTAACTGATTACTAGTAGTAATAATATAGTTTGCAGCTGTTATATTCTACGACAACCACTGTTTTAAGGGATGCCCTTCAGCCCAAAATGTGATACCTCTTGCCTTTTTACGGCTATCATACATATCAATTAACATTTGCCTGGAAGATAATGTGCACTGACATAATCATTGATATGTCATAACAATGGAAAAGAATCTGATCATACAATTCTTTTCAATTGTTATGTGGTTAATCGCAGTGTTACTGGACCACTATAGTCATAAATGTGTATGATGCTTAGTTTATTGGGTCCATGTAAGAGGGATGCCTGCTTAGAGTACCAAATCCAACAGAGTATGATGCATTGTGCACTCAGGTACGCTTGTACTGGGCATTGCAATGGTTTACATTCAGCTGTCAACTGAATTAATTGGCAGTCATTTATTCCCCTTGACTAAGCATGATAGGCATACATGTTCACATTCATGAATCAAGTGTGGACATCCAGTATCTTAGCATCTACAAACAGTTTCATTGTCCTTCCATTTTTCATACCAAAAAAGCAGCTCACGAGCATCCAATGGGTAGTGCTGTTTTGGAGATATTCATTCCTGGTTTTTGAGCCATCACAATCTGGCTTCTCCTAATATATATGTCCACCACTGGCCAAGTGATTAAAACTGCTAAACACTGTTATTACATACCAGGTTCAAATACATACAAACAGGCTGGTTACATAGTTGACTTCCCCATGCGTAACATGACTACATTCCAACATAAAAAACTTTTGAAGTGAAGAAACTCAAAAATGTTTTTATTATTTTTAATTAATTTTTAAAAATTTATTTTAAATAATCTTTTTAATTTAGCAATTATATAATGATTGCAATAACAAACTTTTTGTCTTAATAAAATATTCATTTAGATATTCATTTACTGCCGAGTGACATTTTCAAAAACGGTTCTACCACACCACAAATTTGAATTAATTGTAAACTAAAAATACAACACATGTATTTATGAGAAAGATATTAAATTTAGATTATTTTTAATTGCTTTATTAATTATACGAGTTATAATGTAATTGGTTTTTGTGATAAAATGTTTTATGACAGTGCTATCTACAAGTATATTCGTAGTTGGTGGTTGCTTATGACAAAGACTATTCATAAATTGCTTTATTATTTTTACAGTTCTTACGTTATTAATTATACTTATATTAATTAATTTCTTTGATTGTGCCAAATTGTTTTTTTCGCCTAATACCCAGAACCAGATACATATAAAAGAACATGAAAATACTATGTTTGATCGTATGTAGCATAGATAAAACAAAAACATTTTACAAATTAACTCGTAGCTGGTGCCTAAACACAAACTTCGACCTACGAGATAATTCATGGCTGGCAGTGAACGCGTTAACTTGTTCCTTTTTGTTTTGTTAAGTTCAGCAGTTATTTTAAAACTCATTTTGATTATATACTTTTCATAGGTATCTCGTCGTGTTGGTAGTATGAGTTCCTTATCAGGAGCAGATGATGCTGTATATATGGAATATAAACTCAAGAGAGAAGGAAGTCGTCATCCTTTGTTCAAAAGATTTAGAAAATAGAATTTGTATATATAAAATATGAAGTTTTGTAAATAAATTTTGATATAAAATCTTCAGCCTTTTGTATTTATGAACAAACTATCTTTACATAATCAGTCATGAATTTTCAGATTCGTCTCTGTTTTCATTTGTGACAAGTCTATATTACATTTTTAAAGAGACATTTGACCTTTCAAAGACACAGAAACGCTTTTAATTTTTTTTTAAAGATTAATATTATTGCTTAAAGCAAAAAAAAAAAAAAAAAAGACCGAAAAATAGTTGTTAATGTAAAAGTGAGCACAAATTGTATAATGTCAAGAATTGAAGAGAAAATGCTGATAAAACTAAATTTATTAAATAAAAATTTTTAAAAGACTGAAAAATTCTCAACTAAAATTGATGCATATCAATTGAATCGATGCAATGAGTTACTATTGTTCATATCTAAAAAAAGTTATTTCGGTACAAAATGGTTCAAGTGATATACAGAATTTGCTCGTACCTTTTAAGATCTTATACAAGTTTGAATGCTGGGAAAATCTTTATTATCCCTCTTGTCAGCAATGATTAGATACATTGCTCAAACCAATAAAGGGTGATGTTTTAAGATTAAAGAAATATGAATATGTCATATGAAAAATTAGTCTAAGTATCGATTGTTGTCTCTTGACCATTCCTTAAATCGTGTGTTTGATGTTACAATGATTATTACAAAGCACTATAAAAAATAAACAGATTACAAAAATATATCTTTTTATTTAAACAAAATGAAAAAAAAAGTGAAAAATTTGATTTTGATAATTAAAACAGGTTTGTGTAAATTAAAATTCAGGCAGCAAGACCATAGATTTCAATAAGATTATTGGCTTTGTTGATATAAGCCTCTCGAGCTTCATCTTGATTCATGCCTATAAAATAAATGCTATAGCTGTATATATTATTGTAAAACATTTTGTATAAAAAGTATGAATTAAATAAATCAGTTTTAATAAAACCATCAAAGCATGAAATTTTTATTATAGGTAAATTTGCTACATATAGAGGTGCAATAATACATTAGTGTAAATGAGCTTTAATAATACTTCTGCTCGCACATTTGCTTACTAATTCATTGCTTTTTCAAAAGGTTCTTAATAGCAATAAAAAAATTACATCTCAAAATTCAAAATGCTACTCATCCATGTGCTAAAATCAATAAAGAAAAATTTTTCTCTTTGAATTCTGTTTGAAGTGCTAAACATTCTTAGAACTAATATCCTAATGAAAATATTAAATGTAGCATGAATGATGGTGACTGATTTAGTTGAAGTTATTGTGTCCAAAAATTATATTGTTTTCATATTTCTTTTAGTGTCTTTAATAGCTTTGAATTTCCTTAACATGCAGAATGGATTCTCCAGACAGAAATTCTTTACCGGAGCAGCTTTCAACTTCAGTAGCTCTTATTCAATCATGCATCAGGAAATAATAGTAATTTCTGATTATCTGCACCAGCATGAAGTTGGTGATATAGGTGCAAATTTACAAAACACATTCGTTTGTCTACCTTTACAGCTCAAGATTACTATTCTGTTTACAAATAAAGATAAAAAGGATTTTAATTAATTATTTGAATTAATTTCTAAAAACTGAAATTTCATGAAAAAAAATCTATGTAATATTTACATTTCTACAGTCAGTAGATGATGTTTAGCAAAATGACATTAAGCATGTACATCTGTGTATACTCAGTCATATATATGTGGTAGGTCCATGCATGAGCTATTTATTGTCAGGTGTATCACTGAAAATATGTCAAAAATGGGTAATTGTACCTAAAGTTGAAACTGAAAGTGCAGATAATCAGAAAGTAACCCTGTGTTTCTGAAATTTGCAAACAGCTTACAGCCAATTGACAAACTATTTTACTAAACTAATGCTATACTTTATGTTACAATACTATTCTTAATAAGAAAAATGAAAGAATAAAAAACATTCAAGAGAATTACATTTTTGCGCTTCCGGCTAACCCAATAAATTAAAGAATCCTAGAAAGTTAATACAGAACTTCTTTTCGAGGTCTGCAATTTAATAAATGATTTGATTTTGAGAGAGAAAAAAATGAGTGAAAGCGTATTTATCAGAAACATTCCTCAAAAAAAAAAAAAAAAAAAAAAAAAAAAAATCTAACAGTACTTTTTCCCGAAGTTTTCTTGAAAAGAAGAAACAAAAAAGAAAGTTTGTTAACGACTGAATTCTCTTAATTAGAATAAATACAATAGAAGAGTTTATTCCAATGAACGTAGTTAAGTGCATTTTTTTAATACTGTATATAAAACAAACACTTTAATAGATCTTTCATTTGATAAACTTACTTCTGTTAAGCAAATTGGAAAATATTCACAAGATTATCTTAAGATTAGGTTTTGCTCTTTTAACCTTTGCAATCAGCTTTAGTATTCTGGTTTTGGAATTCTTAATTTGCAGATTTTAAATGAGTTTGGCATTTTTTCAGACGATATTCTTGATATAATTTCAGTATACAATTTATTGGCAGCTTTGATTTAATGGCCTTCCATCAGTTTCTTTGTTTCTAAAGCTGGAAATTCTTTTTTATATGGAACTGCAAATTGAAAATTGACCATGCAATCCTGTATAAGGTTTTAGGTCACCTTCAGAGAATAAATATATGGATTTTCATTCTTCCACCAATTCACAATGCTCTCTTGAGGTCGAAAACATTATATATACCAAACAGGGCTGCAAAGGAAACCTGAATGTACTCATACCACTGAGAGTTATAATGGCAGGTCAAGGTCTTTATTATTAATAACCTTTATAATTATGCACTATTAATTTACATGTTGAAAATGTTTCTGCATTTGTTAATTGCTTCTCTTTCATTTTTCCTAACTAATTCAGTAAAGTCAATTGACAAGTTTACAAATAAGAATTTGATATAAAAATTCAAATAAAATGGAAATTTTTATGTGTAAAATTGTTACAAAAATTTTCATTATACAATAAACTTCTTTGTTTTAAATACTGTATTATTGTATTTACCTTCAATCATACATTCATACATATAAGAATAACTGAGAAAACTTACATTCATACATGTAACAATAATTTAATCCTGTAATATAACAACACCAGCTTAATCATTAAAATGTTTTAAAATTTTGTATTTGAAACTAAGATTATGAATATTCTTGTGTGTTACTTTTATAAGAAGAAAATAAATTATTTATAAAAGCAGCCATTATTTATATTAATTATGTGTTACCTTTCTTGCCATTCCAAGAATCCCATTTTGCTTTTCCTTTAAAGTCAAACAAACCAGATGGACGATCTATAGATATGAATATAGTGACTATCATATAGCGAATATATCCAGAAATGCAGTTTATCAAAACAACATTTACAAAGTAAATACGACTAGAAACGAGAAAAAATATTTAAAAACACTGAAACTTGAGAAAACTGATTAATATTTTTAAATTGGTTTTAATCATTAATGAAAATAGAATTCTACATTAGCAAGCCACAGATGTTTCACAGTACGTTTCTTAGCAGATTTCCTCAAAACAACTATCTGGAAGTTTTTTGTTGAAAAATAAGAGCTATAAATTGTGCTTTTTTGGAATTTTATTTAAATGTAATTATTAAGTATAATTTGATTTATCCCATAAGGGTGATTTTTGATATTTATTGTAACATATACCTATTCTTTACACAATCAAAGTGAAATGTATTTCCATAGGATACAAATTTTTGGTAAATCCCAAAATCCCATGGAAGCATGAAAAAAATTTGTAATGAAAATGAAACAAAACATTCAAATCAAGGAATATTATATATTGATATTGCTATATTCATGTCAACACTAAGGCAAGTCAGGATCAATAAAGTGATGAAATGCAACACTTGGTATATGAATTTCTAGAATATTAAATATATTATATATTCTTAAATATAATATATTTAATATTCTAGAAAAACATCTAATATTTTTTCATCATTCTTGCTTTAAGAGAGAGTTAAGTATTAATATGTATTGTTGGAATTTTAAAATAATGAAAATACGATGAAAAAAAATTTCCAGATTTTGCTAATTTAGGTTAAAATGATTTCATATGGAAGAATATTTTCTAGCCTACTTGAGAGTTCAAGGAATTCTATGATTGTTTTTCAGGATGTGTGCAAAACATTCATAAAAAAAACTCTTCAAAATTAAATAAAAAAAAAAATTCAGATATTGAATTTTCTAAGGAACACATACACACACACACCCTGAAGAAGCTATCTGCTGACTTTCATAACTTTGAATGTTTGCATTATGCAAAACACATGCAAATATTAAAAAAAAAACCTATTATTATTATAGATTGACATAAGCATGGACTGAACAATTCTAACATTTTTTTAATTACAATGTACTTTTTTAATGGTAAACTTATTAACACTGTAAAGTTTATCTTAATTTCTCTAACAGTTAATTTTTAGTTACTTTCCTGTCCTTTCTGAATTTCAGCTTACAACTTCCGGAACGTGTTTTCAGAATCGCGATCAAATGCAAATGAGGAAGAAAAAGGGTATTTAACTGTGAAATTCTACTGACTACGTTAGAGAGCTAGAGATTCTTAGATGATGTCAATATAAAGGATGTAAATTAAGACAAGCATGCAGCTTTTTTTTTTTTTTTTTTTTTTGAGAAAATTGTTTAGAAGTGCTTAAATAGTTTTTTTTTAATTGAGAATTATAAATATTTCTTCTAATTATTATTCTCTGTTTATGCCAACAGTATTATAAGCATTTCCATTCAGAATTATGTCCATTAGCAGAAAAAATACTTTTCAGAAATCTTAGTTTGAAGAGTTAACTCGAGCATATGTGTAGACAGAACTCATTTAACTCGAGCATATGCATGGATAGAAGACAAGTTTGTTGATGTAAAATCAATGAAAATTGGACAGCGGCATATAGTTATATGTTTTGAAGAACTTTCGAAGATTAATGCAGATGTACAGTAATGCATATATGTAAATTTGAAAGATTGACATCCATTCCTTAAAGTTTAAAACTGATTTACAAAATCAATCAGGAAACGAGAATCTTTAAATGACAAAATAAAAGGAAACTGCACAACCATCATTACAACATGATTGCGGTGCAAAAAGCTAAAAAATCACAAGAAAATATATTGACTGAGCTTTTTAAGTTTTTCTCAAAATGAGTTTTTTAATATTTAAGCACATTTTTCTAAAATTCTATTCATAAAACACACCTTAAATTTTATTTCATACTGTTACTTTCCTAAACATACTGAGTGAATCTATTAAATTCATCTACAGGAAGAAATGAATTATTAAGACCCTGATTTTGTTTAAAAATATGCTACAATTTTTTAAGAATTCATATTTTCTTTAATTAATATTTTCCTTAAACTTTTTAACTCCACAGTTGTTCTGCAGAGTAAAACTATCAGTTTTTAAATTTAATATTTGATGCTCTCTTTCGGAATTTTCCCGGTACATTTAAAAGCCAGACGAAGGCTGGCCACTTAACACTACATCACATTAAGTACTAATACATTACTACTTAATGTAATATTGCAGCCTCTATTCATTAACCTGTTAGTCACCTGACCAAGATGAGAAAATGTATTTTAAGATAACCATCAAAATGTCTAATTTTGCTATTGAAATGAAATATTAACATTAAATAAAGCAAGGAATTACATTTCTAAGTCTTAAGTAACAATAAATATATTTTTAAGGAAAACAACTACTATTCACTTCTAAAACCTAAATTTCACTTTTTTCATTATTTTATAATTTACCTCACCGGCTTGAATGAGCAGTTATGATGCAAACTCTTAAATGATTCATCACGGTCATAAACTATTTATACTTGTTTCGGTTATTTTTGATTCAGAAGTTATGATACAAACTCTATGAATGATTCATCACATTCATAAACTATTTATACTAACTTTTTTCAGCTACCTTTGGTTGCATGACACACGTGATCAGAGTAAAAAAAAAAATCTTAATATTTTTAGGTACTCTTCTGTTATTGGTGCCGAATTCGGAAAATGTATATATGCATACATATATTTATATACGAACATACAGACACAAATACATACAACCATACATATACGCACATATATACATATTTCAGAATCCCGTCCTAATAACAGAAGTGTACCTATTTTTAATACTTTTAATTTAAAATATTACCATATGACTGAAAAAGAATGTATTTCAAGGAAAAATAAAACACACCTGTATCACAATCACCAACAGTTGCTTGTTTGTATAAGCCATACAATTCTAGCATTTCCACATCAGTAGGCTTAGATTTTAGTTTGGTAACATCAGACGCAGCCTTCTCGAATTTCTGTAAGAAATAACACTATTATAGTTTTATAAAGCAAAATTTAGATTACATAAAATAAATTCATCATAAAATGCATATAAGTCAAATTCAATTTTTTATTACATAAGACACACAACACAGATCTGAAAAACAAAATATACTTTATTATTATTATAACCATTAAAATTTACTGCTCTAGCAATATCCAAACATACACAGAATTTATGTGATTTCATATTTCCCACTCTTGTTTCATTGTGTTTACAGTAAGGTATAGAACTGTAAAGCACAGGGAATGAGTATAGGACTGTTGCATTGAATATCATTTTTAATAGGACTATAGATAGAGTTTCTGACTGATGAATAAGCACTGTATTTTTGCAGAAATATGGCATTTTAACCAACAATACAGAAGAGAAAATTTGCATTCTAAGAAATTACACTTCTTAAGCTGTTAAATAAACCGATATCATATGAAGAAGCAAGTCGAAAATACGAAATGTATCTTTTCACATTTTTTATTGAAACTTAACAACACGTGCACAACATTACAACAGCATCCAAAACTCACACGCAGAGAAGAAACTTGGTGTTGCCAACATGGTAAATATAAATGTACCAAACTAACATGCACCTCCTTACATTTATATTTATACTAATTACAAATAAACATAGATATAAGCAACATTTTCATCTTTACCATTTACAATTAAGCATAGATTTAAACAAACATTCAACATTCAACACTTAAATTATTTAAAAAAGGTTTCTTTCATTAACTTAAATGTTAAAATCAAAGTTAAACACAATTTAGTTTACATAAGGACATTATCAAAATCTATTTCATTTCAAGCAAAAATATTTAAATAAAGAGTATACAAAATTTATTTCAATTTCAAACCTTCTCTGAATTTCATAAATTTAATCTTTCCTAAAGACTTAGCAAAGATATCTGCAATATTTGATTTTGAATCAATCTTTACAATTTCAGTTACTCCATTTTGAACATTTTTGTGAACATTATGATATTGAACTTCTATGTGTTTTGAATTTTTAGTGAAGTTCCATAATTAGCAATGGCCAAAGCTCCTGAATTATCTTCATAAATTTTAATGGATGAGTTATAATCAGCAAAAACATCATTCACAACATTTTTTAAAAAATTAATTTCTGTCACAGCCTCAGATAGAGCAATATATTCAGCAAATGTGGAAGATTTTGTCACACAATTTTGCTTTTCGGATTTCCAATAAATTGGATTGCCAAATAATTCAATAACAAACCCAGTAGTTGAACTTTATGTCAACAATATCCACCTGTGCCCAATCAGCATCAACATAACAATTCATAATATCAGTTTTAAGATTTTTTACTATAGATTAATTTTAGATGTTTTGTTAAGTACAAATACTTAACAAAACTCTCAAAGCATATTTGAAATGTGTCTCATCATAACAATTTTGAAATCTACTTAAATAATTTAGGCTGAAAGATATGTCTGGTCTAGTACCATGACTAATATATGAGAGTGCTCCTATTAGATTTCTATATTTGACATTTTGATTTAAATTAGATTGACTTAGTTTAAGATTAATCTCCATTGGTGTATCATAAAGCTTTGAATTTTCAATACCATACAGTTTAGCTAAAGATTCAATATAATTTTCCTGACTCAGTGTTAAGATATTACATTTCTCATTATCATATTCAATATCAATTCCAATGTAGCTTTTTACTTTATTTAAATCCTTCATTTTAAATTTATTATGTAGTTGTTCCTTAATATCATTATTTACCTGAGTATCTTTGCAACATATCAACAAATAAAAGAATATACAAATACATCATTTTCAGATTTTACATAAAGACAATAATAATATTTATTTCTCTAAATCCTAGACTCTCAATACACTCGTTAAAACACTCATACCAAGCACGAGGTTCTTTCAACCCTATAGTGCTTTCTTTAATTTATACACTCTATTCAAATTATCATTATAGCCTTGTGGCTGTTTAACATAAACCTCAGACACAACATAACCATTTAAAAAGGCAGTCTCAACATCTATTTTGATGAATATTTAAATTATACTGACAAGAATATGAAAGTAGCAATTTTAAGGTTTGCATCTTAATGACAAGGGAGTAAGTATCCTCAATACTATCTTTTTGCTGGAAACCTCGAACCACTAATAAAACCTTGAACTCATTAATAAAACATTACACTTTAAAAACATTACCTGGTTTTCTTTTGAATACCCACTTCACATCTAGAATTGCTTTATCCTCTGGTTTTAGTCACTAGTGTCCAAGTGTTGTTTTTAACAAGACTGTTCATTTCACTGTCCATTGCCTCTTTCCAATGTCCAGCCTCGCTGCATGTTGTCGCCTCTTCAAAGTTACCTGGAACTGTAGCCATCACAAAAATTTGCACTAACACAGTAGTACCCTGAATTCTTCATGAAATCGAACTGGTGGTTTGATTTGCCTTCTTGGTCTCATTCCACTTTTTGTTTCATCTTCATTTATCACACTGTCCTTGGAGTTATCATTACTCAATTCACATGACACTTCTTGAGGTTCATTCTTCTTATTTGTATCATCATTCTAATCTTATCATCACAACCTACACACATTATGTCTTCTTCAATAATATCAACATGCCTGGCAACTATTATTCTGTTATTCATCAAAACTCTATATCCAACTTCTGTATATCCAAGTAAAATTCCAAATTCAGACTTTTTATCCCACTTTCTCTTTTCTTCTGGTGTTCTTATATACACTCTACTTCCGTACAATTTCAATTCATTAGCAGATGGTTTCCTATTGAAAAATATTTCATATGGCGTCTTCTTTACAGCAGTATTTGTTAATGTCCTGTTTTTCAAATAAGCAGCAGCTTTAATTACTTCAGGCCAGTAACATCTGTCAACTTTTGCTTCGGCTAAAAGACATCTTGCCATATCCATTATAGTTCTGCTGTAACGCTTAGCAGTACCATTTAATTCATGTACATATGGTGGGATGACTTTATCTTAAAACCTTTTTCTCTTGCAATTTGTATATCTTGCTATTCATATATTCACTACCATTATCACATCTTAGTTCTTTGATAGTCTTCCCTGTTAATTTTGAATTTCATTTACATATTCAATTAACAATCAGAGACTGATCCTTAGATTTTATACAATAAATTTTTGCCAACTTGCTAAATCATCAATAAAAACTCACAAAGTATTTCTCACCATTACATCCACTTGTTCTGTGAGGTCCATTTACATCTGTATGTATCATCTCCAGAATATCTTCTGCTTTTCTTCTATTATCTTGAATGGTAAATTGTGCATTTTATTTTTCAATACATATGGACACTTCACATATTTGGTTTCTATTTCTTTAGGGATCCTTCTAATAGCTGATCTTTGCACATAACATCCAGATATTTAAAATTACATGTCCAAATGAACGATGCAATTTTCTTTTAACGTTAACTTACTGTTGGTCAAAATTTGCAACTATTTTACTATTTTTAACATAACTCTTACTTATATAATCTTTTTTTCTTTCTTTGCTATTACTACTAATGAACCATTGACATCATATATTTTAGAGAACTTTTCTTTTGAAACTATTATGATTATCAGTAATCTTTGAATAACATAATAAATTTGCTTTCATTTTTTACATAAAATACATTCTTCAATGTTACGATAGATTCGAGTTATATACAGGAAAAGAAACTATTATATTGCCAACCTTTGTAGCTTTCAAAATCCTTCCAACACCAACTTTTACTTGAAAATATGATCCTTCAAAGTGACTTGCTCTTTGAAATATTCATCACTGTTTATAATGTGTTTTGTGCATCTGCTATCCAGTAACCAATTGATTTCATTTTTATTCGTCACAGTATTTGCACTGGAACTTGACATGTTACTTTCGGTAACAGTGGTGTGAAAACTATTTCCGTGATAACTGTTTATTTTGTGGTTAGAGTATGCTTCGCGTCTACGATGTCCACTAAAAGCACGACTACGTTCCTCGATTGTTTGAAGCAATTCGACCACGATAATTAGTGCAGCCATTACCACGATAGTTCCTTTGATGGACATTCCAAGAATTCTTTTTAATGTGACCAGGTTTTCCACAATTATAACAGACATTCCCTTGTGGACCCGATTTGCTTGTTTCAGTTTTGAACGCATTTGATTTTTCTGCTGGTGCACAATCTTCATAATCATTTTTCTCTTCAAGTAATTTTGATTTGATTTTGCTCTTTAGGTAATCAACTGTACCGTTATTCTCTGGTAATACATCTATTAAGTCACCAATGTGACTGTAATTTGAAGGTAATGCTCTTAGCACATAGTTCAATTTTCTTGTTCCGTCACGGTGGCGCCGGCATGTTTCAGCTCGTTCACATACTTCTCAAAATCATCGAAAAATATATTTACATCATAATAATTTTTCAGTTTCACACATTCGAAGTTATTTCGACAAACAATTTGTAGAGATGTTGAAGTTTTTAAATACATTGCATCAAATTTCGTAATTATATCAAATGCAGTCTCACACTCGTGAATATATTCCAATTGCTTGTTTGTTATGCGGCCGTAAATGTAATTTGTAGCTTGGATATCCTTTTCTTCCCATTTTTCCACGTCATCGTTTTCACTGACTTTTCGCTGAACCACATCTTTACTCTTTTTAAATTGAAAAAATTTCATCATACGCACTTTCCAATTAAAATAGTCCGAACCATCAAATATATCATTGCTTCTGTACATGCCATTTTTACACTAGTACCGGTAACTTTTAAAACAGATTATAACTACTAAATTCTTAATTCATATTCACAAACCACGAGAACTGCTACCATGTTAAATAAAACGATATCATGTGAAGAAGCAAATCAAAAAATAAGAAATGTATCTTTTCACATTTTTTATTGAAACTTAACAACACGTGCACAACATTACAACAGCATCCAAAACTCACACGCAGAGAAGAAACTTGGT